TCATTTAATTAAAAAATATAAAACATTTTTAATCAAACTTTATCCTCAACGAAATAGTTACTTTTTTTTAAATTAATCCTATTTTTTTATATTTATTTTTATTTGATAAGATGTCTTGCTCTTAAATAAATATAAAGTGATTTATTCAATAAGAACACTTAAAAAAAGACAATAATTATACCTTAAAAAATAAAAAATGTTTTATATTTTTAAACATTCAAACTTTCAAAAAATGTCTTATATTTTTTAATAGGAGAAGTAATTTTTTTATAAAATGTAAATAATTATTAAATAGAGACAGAATCTTATGTTAAAATTTTTTAAATTGCTTAATAATTGAACTTATTAAAATTTACATTTTTCAAATTAATTTTTAAGAAATGTATATATAACAATAAAATTGTAGGTCTGTATATTCCAAAGATGAGGTGTTCTTTCTGTACATGATAGAGTTTGAAAACAAATTATATTTTTTATTATAGTTTGTTGAAATTTGTATACCTTGAGATATATTTTTATCATATTTTAATAAATATGTTTTAAATAAATAAAATAAATAAAACAAGATTATACGAGGAGAGGATACCCAGCCGTCATTTTAATTTAAGTGAAGTGAATGCAAAAGGAAAAAATTGAAAATAGGTGAATAATACCACTAGGGTAGGTGCAGAATGTGTCACATCAAATATCAGCTTGAAGAGTAATTAAGAGCAGAATCAGAATTATGCCATGAAAAGCACCAGATCTGTGTTTTCCCTCTTTCCTTCTGTCCCCCTTTTTTTCTTTTTTCTTTTCTCTTTTCTCTTCACCTAACGTTTTCAATTGATACTCCTTTTTTTTTTTTAACCATTTTTTCGTTGGCTCTTTATCACATCCTTTATTCTGCTCAAATACCTTTTCCCCTCTATTATATATTATTTATTGTAAAATATACTATATTTATTATGTTTTCATTGTCATTAATCCACTGTAATTATATTTTATATTATTTTCATTGAAAAATATAAATAACTTATTCAAACCATTAAAACTATTTTTTTATATTATCTTCTCTCTTTATTCAGTCATTCTCAAATATTCTAATGTAATGAGTTGCTTGTATTTCGTCTTTTTAATTCAACTAATATTTTTTTAATGTATATACATGGATTCATACTTTAGATATTTTCTATTATCATGCATACATGATACATTTATACATTATACTCAAGAATAGTTTTTCTTTTTTTTTTTGTTTGTAAAAAAATTAGGTGAATTAAATTATAAAGATAGTTGACAACAATTTGAAAAATATTTGTTAAAATATTTAAAAAAAATTAATCTTTTAGTCCTCCAACTTTTAAGTCACTTGTAATTCAATCCCTCAACTTTTGAATCACTTATAAATTAGTTCCTTAACTTTTGCTAATTTTTTTCATATTAGCTTATATCACACATCAATGAGCAAGATGAGGGTATTTTAAAATAATATATGAAAATTTTTTATCCCTCTTATTTAATAAGAAATTTTTTTAAAAAATTAAAAATAAGGACCGAGTTATAAGTGAATCAAAAGTTGAGGGACTGAGTCGCAACGAGTTATAGTTGAGGGATTGAGTCGTAGCGAGTCATAGTTGAAGGACTAAGTTATAAGTGAGTTAAAAGTTGAAGAATTAAAAAATTAATTTTTTAAAATATTTATGTATTATCTACTAATAAAATTTTTACATCAATAGATATAATGGACAACAGTTTTATTTGAAAAGTATGTCAAATATATTTTTTCACAATTGACCCGTAGAAGCACGTTAGGAATAAAACTTGACAAAATTTCATGCATACAAATAAATGCTTAATCACGGTCATTGTGATTGACCAAGAAGTGTTGATGACGTCAGCTACAATTGTCAACTGGTCTTACGTTCACAGTGACGCCAGTTTAGATTCCATGTTTCCGTTTCTTATGTGACAATTTATTTCTAACTAATTTATGTCTACAAGCATTTTAAAAGTAATTTATAATTATGAGTGTAATACTGAAATCCAACTCAACCAACTTGTTGAACGGGCTGATAGCGATGCAATTACGAATTTAATCATTAATGTTTAAACAAATGTTGTGAGGAATTTGATGCCTGATTTAATTTTAAATCTTGGCCTGATATAGAAAAAGGCTAAAAAAAATTTGACCTAGAAAAAAACTGGATTCTTTAAAAAGCTAATTTCATTTTTTGGGCTTTTTATTTGTATATAATATGATTTAGGATTTATCTAGAAAAATGTTATTAGCTATAGTACAAAATTCCAAATACATATGTTTTGAGTTTACTCACTCATACTTTAATTAAGATCGTTTTATATTTAATAAGTTATGAAATTATAACTTCTAATATCATTATCTTATGGTTATTTATAGACAATTGAACATATTATGGATTTATTTTATATACTTATTTAATATCAATTTTTATCTAACTATTATAACATTTGTTCAACATTGATCTGACGGACTGGATAATAAAAATTGACACCTGTTAGACTTTTTGGTTCAACGTCTAGCCAACTTTTAAAAACAATGGTCGTAATAAATAATTGCCATTCACTAACAATTCAGAAAACATCTAGGGAGAATGCACAAATACATTTATCCAAAATAGGGAGATGGCAATTTAATTTTCCAAAATATGGTAATGCTTTTTGAGTCTCAAGGAATTTAATTGTCATTAAAATTTTTTTATGAAATGATAAAAATATCTCTTGATTTAAAAAAGTGAAGAAAAATTGTGAAAAAAAGTTATCAATGCCAAAACTACTTTAGTCATTTATTAAATCAAACTTATGAATTCTAGAATCAAAGTTGTGAATGAAAATACTTTATTGCACTTTGCAAATTGAGGAAAAATAGAGAGAGAAAATTATGAATACCTAAACCACTTTTGTTATTTGCTGCACTAGAATTATGAATTTTAAAACTAAAGTTGTGAATAAAAAAAGTTGGTTGCATTTTTTAAATTAAGAAATATTTTTTTCATTTCATAAAAACTTTAATGATAATTAAGTTTCTTAAAACTTAGATGGCATTATCATATTTCATGAAACTAAATTGTCATTTTTCTATTTCAGAGAAATTTATTTGTCATTCTTCCAAACATCTAATTCTAGATCAAATTAATACATTCAAATATAAAAAAAAAAAAACTATTTAATCTACAACATAATTTCAAAGTAAAGTCAGATTATCAAATTGAAAAATGAAGATAAAGGAAGGATTACGTTTGTTTAGTATACAAGAAATAATCCTTAATTAATTGAACAAACTTAAGTGTATGAAAAGGGTAATGCGTTGAGTCAATAAGTGGAAGGTTGTTTCGTACAAAGCATGAAGAAGGGCGTGCACGCACACAACTTGTGGAGACTTGAAAGTGAAGATGAAATGGAATCGTTTCTCTCACTTTTTTAATCCAAACAAACAACAAACAATAATAATAACAATAATATATGAATATATTATTGTAAAGGCAAAGAAAGTAAAAGCTTCAATGCTTTCAAAGTTATGATGGGAAAGAAGGGAGCATAGTTCACTGCACTCCCAAATGGGGAATGCAATTGTACAACGAATATTCAGCCTCATCTCTTCGTTATCGACTGTATCATTCAGTGCTCTTTGTACCAGAAGATAACGTAAAACCAGAATGGCTTTTAGACACTTAAAAGTGGCAGCTTGACATTGAAAAATGAATTATAGTCTGTCTGTCATCAAAACTTTATCAATAAATTATGTTTTCTTTTGGGTTTCAAGTTGTTGGCTTAAGGTAACATTTTGACCAGTTGACGTGGCTACCAGTTTCGGTTCTTTTTTAAACGGTTGCAACCTAACTGATTGGTATGTTGTGAAAATTTCTTGCTTGTTTGGTGGATTTTCAATGTAGGATTGAGTTATTTAAATCAAAGATCAGGATTTTGAGGGGACCAGAGTTGGTGAACTTGAAACAGATTACTTGTTTTTTTGGTTTCTCCTCAAGATTTCTCTAGCAATATCTGTTTTCTTAGACTTCTTTATTAGAATGAAGCTGTGTATTCAAATTCTAACATATTCAATAACACCCTACCCTCTCACACCATGATGCAAGTTGCAACTAGATTTTACCCTTATTATAAACATAAATATTGGTTCTTGTATAGTTATTGACTTGACAAATGTGCGTGGAGTCCACTTGCAATTTTTTTTGGTAAAAAAAAATTTAAATGACTTGAATTTAGAAGCTTATCAAGGTTGGGACATGCTTCCAAACTCAAAGAACACTCATAGAAGCACTTATAAATTACTCATTAACAAGGTCTTCATATCAATTGTGGGATTTGATCTCATGACCTTATAAATCAAGGGTCAAATCCTTACTCATTGGACTAACTTTTGGTGGTTATCTGCTTAGAAATTATGTTCTACACTTCTTACAGTCCAGTGAAGCCCATTAGAGATGAATTTAAGACCACTATTCATGAACAACTAGACTTGCTGCAATAACAATAAAACCAGTAGGGGAAGGCTAGAAATACTATTAACATCATCTAATAATGCACACATGCCTTGGATTTGTCTTGAGGATATGTTTGGACTGAAGAATGGAGAGGGGGAAAGGAAACCCCAAAAAAAAAAAAAAAACAGAAGAAGAAGAAGGACAAGATTTGCTTTATATCCAAATCAAGGGAAATGTCTAAATCAAATCCAACCTTCACTTCCAATCGCCTCAATCCAAACATAAGCTAAAAGCACATTCACTTCCCAACGTTTTCTGAAATCTGGCAGCTGTCATGAGTTCATCCGTTTGTGTTAGAGAATAATAGATCTGCAAAGAGAAGGCATACATATTCAACTATTCATCTGTGACTGATCCACAGAACTTTCCTAAAATACTCGAAAGTCCAGCTTTTGTTACTTAGAACAAAGAGACGTACAAAACCGTGGGAGGAAGGGGGAAAATTAGATAACAGGTAGAAAAGCAAAATCTCCAGAGAAAAACTTTCAGCAGGCAAAGATTTTACAATTATTCGCGAATTCAAGAAAAACACATAGTATAACTATAAGTAGTTACATGACTAAACAATGGCAGGATAAGGATGAAGTTCAATCCTGAGCCCTGACCATGGAATCCACAGCAACTGCTAATTATGGACTCATGAGCAACAGTTTCACAGGAAACCCACTTGATCATGAAGATGTACACAAAATGGCAGCACAACTTTTTTTACACTCCGCCATAACTCTATGAGATTCTTAAGGTTACATAGGCTATAAATTTACTAGTCGCTAGCCGGGTTGCTGCACCAAACATGTCTGGTCAGGGCGGAGGCCTGAATAAAAATCCTATTGGCAGTAGAATTACAGCATCAGATCCGGATAACAAGCCAAATCAGCTTTTGCTCAAATGCAAGCCCCTAAGTCCCTCGATAGGTGAGCTTCATACTCTTGAGAGTATGACCAAGGACATATCTAAAAGTCAACATGAGAGATTGCAAAGTACCTAGTTCACATTTTTAGAATCTTTCCGTGTCATGGGCAGCTCAATAATTACTAAGAAGTAGCATCGTTCTGACTCCCTAATATATTGGACTTCACCGCTCATTAGCTTTAGAATCCTCCTGCACATGCTCAGCCCTAAGCCTTCTTGAGTTACCCACAGGTTGCTATTGAACATGTCTTGAATCAATTCAGCAGGAAGACCTTCACCGGGACATACCATCCTTCACAAAACCAAAAAGAAGAAGACACACAAAAATTGAAATAAATTAAGTAGATATTAGAAGCCAAGTGAATAAACTAAGTATGTGAGAGAAACAATTTTGGCACAAATTATCAGGTTTCCTCGTAGAAGAATTGAAAAAAAAAAAAAATTACCATGCATTTGGCGAATGATCAGAAGTTGCGATCTTCGTTTAACTTTTCTTAATGGAATATTTTTTCATGAAATGCCGTGATCAAGAGATAATAAAAAGAAAGCAATAACTAAACTCATTTTCAAGGTATACCAGCATAATGTACAAAGAAATTACAATAATGGGGCAGGCCACTAGGCCTTTCCCCCAACAAACATCATATTATGCATTTGCCACAAAAGAAATTTTGGCATCTCTCACTCTCTTTCCAGGGGGAGTTCAGGCAGGCAAATCAGATACTATTAGGATAGCAATTAAGAAAGGTTGTGTTTAAGTCAAAAGCGAACAAACAAGGTTGAAGAAGGCATCTTAAATCCAACCCCAACCAGATTTCTGCCATTTTGAAGGTCACAGTTCAAGTTATATATCATGAAGCATGATGTTGTGTAATCATCAAGAATGGGAAAACATCGGCCTACCCATAGAAGAGATGCAACCCAAAAAATTGGTCCAACTTGCATGGTCAATCAAACAATTAAGAAAATGTTCCTTAACATAAGAGTTTTCAAAACTTTTAAGGCAAGATAAACAAGATTAATTTGAACTAGCAATTCTTTGCAATAGTTTTGCAGTGCTGTATGATGAAATCATTTCATGAAAGGATCTAAAAAATATTAATGATTTCTCATCATGTTTTCATTCTAAAACAGATATCAAGTCAGGGTGATAAAATGGTAGTCATCATCATCAGTAATGCATGCTCAAAGAAAGAAATAATTATTAATGAAATAACAAAAAGTACATGCTAATATACCTGAATTCAGTATGAAGAAGAGTAAGTCCGTCAGAAATTTGTCTTATTCTCGGAAAAACATGAATCTCTACCCAACCATCTGGAGATGGTGCATAGCGCACCATATTCAATAAGAAATCAGCCAAGACCTGTTGAATCCTTGATTGATCACCATATACAGCAAAGGTCTTGATTTCTTCAGGAATATCACGGATCAACTGTAAATTTCTTTCTCTCAGCAATATCATCACTTGGCTAACAACTGCATTGATGACACTTCCAAGTAAAAATTCCCCCTTCTCAAGCTCCAAGGACCTAGATCCAAAAGTAGACAAAGACTTAAGTCTTGTCTTATTGAAATTGATGCAAGAAGTTTCAAGGACATTAAAGCAAGCACACTAATTGCCAACAGCAGCAAATAGCAAGTGTATAACTCACGATCATAACACAGACATCTATAATGTACCTTACATGCAGTCAAAGTTTGAAAAATAGACAACTTTTTAACAGCACAAGTTGATATATCTGGATCATAAAAGATAAGTATATTAGTAATTCCCCCCTTTTTACCATATTAGGGGGGAAAAAAATTATTCCATATGCTATTTCTATATGCATCAACAAGGCGGTAATCTACTAGCATCAGGACTATTAATCGTGTGAACTTGGAAAGCAGAAACTAAAACAGGTCTGCATCCTTTGCACTATCAGAGATAATGATAAAGAAAATTATCAAACATTCTAACTGACACCACAAATTAAAATCCAATAAATAGAATGGCATGTCTTCATGTATCACAATGCTAGCTATGAAACAACTTGCCCAAGAGCTCAATTTTTAACCAGAGGCCTAAGAAAGGCTCTTAAAATATCCATTACTTTTGGGGGGGGGGGAAAGCACTTGGCATGGAATAAGGATAATGTATTGACTCAAAAATACCAACTATCTTGTACTAAAATCACAAAAATATACAAAAATATCAGCAGACTGGGAGGCAACAAACATTGAAACTTTGAATTTCTTAGTCAATTTACTCTTAATGCCATATTAGAGATTCACCTAACCAAAAAATCTAAGCTTTTAAGCAAACCCAGAAATGGTACATCATAAATTTTCTAGACTAAGAGAAAATTGAAATGATTGTTCAGAAAACCCACCCATCATCAATGCTCTCCAAATCTACATCACGTATTATCTTCAACATCTGCTTCTCACAAGCAGTACTGGTCTCAAGAAACTGCTTTTGATCATCAGTCAAGTCTGTAGCTTCCAGAAGAGAGTTTGTAAAGCGTATGCCATTCAAAGGATTCTTTATTTCTTGACAAATGTAAGCTAATTCTTTCATCCTAGCAAAGCATTTCTTCTCCTGTTGTCTCTGGATTTTCAGAGCCTGTTGAAGTTCAGGACTTGCAATTTGCAAGAAGCAGAATGCCCCAATGATCTGACCATCCATGTTTATCCTCTTATTAGCAGTCAGGAGTGCCTGCACATATTTTCCATTCTTATCAAGAAATGAAAAGGGAAATTTATCCGTATCCTGTCCACCAAGGGCATTGTGCAGCACAATCATGAACTTGGTCAGAGAATCTTGGCCCTTTAGTCGACAGAAACTACCAAAAACCTCTCCTACCAGCATTTTCCCAATGATTTCCTCACGCTTCCATCCTGTAAGATTTTCCATTGCAGTGTTCCACTCTGAGCAGCATGTGTTATCATCCGATGCAAAAATAGGAGGGATCAATGGATTTGGACTGTGTACAATAGCCTTGTAGTCACCTTGTATGTTAATGAATTTGTCCATTACTACTTTTTGACCAGTAACATCTTGACCAACAAAGCATACTCCAACGATATGATTTGTATAATCCTTGCTGGAGCAAGCATTCACCACAATATAAACTGCCTTCTTGTCATGTTCAGGGCCAAACGTCCTCATTTTTATTTCAACGTTTTATCTTCTTCACCTGTGCTAATTAAATTCAAATTGTTATGGTATAGCCAATCACCAAAACTGTCTTTTGACCAAAGAACAAGATAATATATAACAAGAGATTCAATTAAGAATGACATAATTAAAGAGTCAATTGTTACATTGACCTTTTCTTCATTTTGGTCCAATAAACAATGATGAGCAAAAACTCCACATTCAGGGTCAACTCACTGTTCCCATTCTCATACAGTTTTTCTTTTGAAGCCTAAACCTGTTGTATAGCAAAAACTTAATCCCACATGACAAATATATTATCACATTATAAATGCCATGACTACCACTAGCGAAATCAGACATCCCTCAACTGTGCTAGGAATGGTAAATCAATTTATTTACCAGGGGAAAGATTTTGTCACTTGCAGTTAATTATGCGGCAAAGCACCATTTACACATTCTACTAAACTTTTAGCTGTATGTTTAACAAGAATATAGGCAACCAAAACATCCAAAAGTTCTTCCTAATATTTAGTCAGAGTTTCCTTACACAATTAATTAATAAATTAAACAGAGAAATAGTTTTAGAAAGACTACCTCTTAAAGCACGAGAAAGAAGCTTGTCTACGGTTTCTTCAGATTCTTTATACACAATATCATGTATCAAAGACTTCCCCATAGCTTCATCAACTGAGAGTCCTGTCAATTCTGCAGCCTTTGCATTCCAGCCATTTATGCAGCCATCAACGTTTACAGCAAATATGGGAGCAGTAGCAGTCTCTATCAATCTAACCATTTCCCTGGCCACAGAACTCAGCTCATCCACCCCTTGCAATTCCAGATTATGAAGCTGGGAATGCACAACAGCCTTAGAATTGTTTTGCTCAGCATCTCTAAATGAATCTCGCAAGATAAGCTGCAAGGAATGTATAGCATCCATTTCTGCATTGTCCCAGGGCAGACTACGGCTTTTTACCACTTCTAGAAATGCCTTGAATGAAGAACGTGGATTCATTCTCTGTCCATCATCCTTGTCCTCTGGGTGATGCTTTGCACCACCCCATTTGATCTCTTTCGCTGTATGGGATCTGAACCAGAAAAGATAAGCCCTGTCTGTAATATAAGCAACAGCCATCCCACATACCGCATCACCAAGAGAAACAGCCCCAGGATACCCAGCATCAGCCAGACTATCAGTACTTAGACCTGTTGAGTCTCCGTGGCTGGCCAACAACCACTCTATGATATCCTTTATCTGGAACTCAGTTGGGGTGACACCTAATGGGTAGTAGTTATTTTGGTAGTAGAGAGCCGCTCCATCACATTTCACAAGGTCCATAATATTAGGGCTCTGAGTAACAATGCCAGTAAGAGAGTCCCGAAGTAACATGTCACACAAGAGGGTCTGTGTCCTTAAAACACGTTTTTCTAATAGCTGTGATGCCAATTGAAGTTCCATATTCAGCTGAAGCCCAAAGGCCTGCATAAGGAACTCACAAGCATAGCGCAGAGGGAAAGGAATGCATCTAGCAGAAGTATGATGACAAACAACCAGGCCCCAAAGCCTCATTGAGTTACGACCACCAACAGCTTCCTCTTCGTTCCCATTGATTATGACTGCCATTGCCAGTGAAGCTATCGATCCCATATTGGCCATATACTGCGCATGACACCCATGGGGGGCACGAAGGGTTGATCCAACTAAGCATAGCGGCTGCATAAGCGCTTCATCCTGAATTACCTTAACAGGAGTGGCATGACAATCCACAATCATCCTAACCCGATTCTGCTTGAACAAGAACCTTGAAGCCTGGGGAATATCAGTAGCAGGGTAGTGCAAACCGATATAAGGATCCAAGTCTGGCCTCTTACTCTCAGCAACAACCTCTCCATGTTCATCCTCATGAAATTTATAAACCATTACCCGCTCATATCCAGTCAGTTCTCTAACACTCTCAACTACAGTATCACACAAAAGCTGAATATCTCCACCAGGAAGCGACTGCAACTGCGAGATTGCACGCACCGCCAACTTCTGAGACTGCACTGCCCCAGCAATGGAAAGGGCAGGGTCCTCTGTTCTGGCGGGTTCCAAATCAATCACAATTCCCACGTCAATTCTGTGCAAAATTGCATAAAAGGGTTTCCCTGAATTCTTCGAATGAATCCAAATGGGGTTTAACAGTGTGATTTCCCGAGCCCCAAAGGCCTTTTCGAGTAGCACCGCACTTGAGGGAGTAAAAAGCGTGCGAACATCAGCTCCAATCGTGAGAGCTTCAGATTTTTCAAGGTTTGGAACCGATTGAGGAGTGATGCCCAGCAAATCCCGCGCGTTTTCACTGTATCCAAGAATCCGAAAAGTGGGTTCATCTACGGCAATCATGCAACCAAAGGGCTGAATATACCCGCCCCTTTGAATTCTCAACAGGTAGGCCGAAATCTGCTGCTCGGGAACCGACTGGATGCTGGTTTTTATGGACTGTGAGTAATCAAAAGACTTACCAGACTCGCCGGATTGCTCGAAGACGGCATGGAGGCGAGCATCCTCAGTGTACTGAGCAATTGCTTTGCTGATGGACTCTGTATTTTGGGTTCTCTTATAGCTTGTGCCTGAAGAGTGAACTTGGGTTAGTGAATTTGCCGCTCTGCCCGCCGCTGCCATTGAAGGGTCTTAGTGTTTCGCTGCTTTGTTACTCCTTTATCTCTCAATTGAAGTCAGTTTCTGCCTCGAGCTCGAAGATCCTGGAGTCGTAACTACGCAAGGGGCGAGATATTATTCTTAAAAAAAAAAACTTAAAAACAAAAAATCTAGCTTTAACAGAGTTCAGAGGAAGTGACGCGCGGACTAGTGTATTTCTTGTTAGGCGTCACTTTTCTGATTCTGAAATGCTACTCCCTCTCTCGCCCGACCCCTCCCTCTCCCTGGAGTGAACATAAATATCTTTTTCCCTTTTTTTAACCTTATTCAAGTGATTTTTTATTGTAGTGGAAACAAGAAAAGCAGTGCTCTCCATTGTCATACAACGTGAGCTGGATTTTCGTGTGGTTGAGGACGAGGGTCTGCCCGTATAATTGAGAAAGGCATCAATTGATTCGTGGCTGTATTTTCGAATTGGGCTCTCCAATCTCCATCCATATCTACGTCTGAATATGTCTAATAATAATTTGTCTATAAAATGTTACGTTACATGTTATAGTGCACCGTTTTTATTTTTATTACAAAAAAGTACATCATTTTGATTCACGTTGTACCTTTACTTTCTATTTTTTTATTTCCACGTGATATATTAATTGTACCTTTTTATTTTTAATTATGTCTTTATCTCATTTTTTTTTAGAATTTTTCTATCATTTCTTCCGCGCAAGGCATTTTTTTTTTCTCTAGCTATTATATTCTTTCTTTTTTTTTTTGCTAGACTCTAGTTATTATATTCAGCACCTTAAGAAATTTAATTACAAATAATAAGCATAGTTACAAGTTACAGCTAGCCTATGTTACCCTGTGCAATGCACGAGGACCTAAATGTCAACATTTAAACATTATAGCAAATAATAATTATACTATCATTGAACAACACATTATAATAAACTTTGCTCTACCACAATCACATGCAAGTAAATGAGAAAATAAAAAAAAATGGTTTTGCAAATACAAGGCTTCAATTGTCACACTAACAACAACTTTTGAAATATTTCCCTGCAAACAACATTTGTTATTGAGCTCTTTTGATGACAGTCATCTCCATGCAATAGGATCTTTAGGCCATTCATGTCTTTAACTCTTGATAATGCCACATATAATTGACCATGTGTGAAGACAAGCTTTGTAAGATATAATCTTACATGATGTAAAGATTGCCCTTGACTTTTGTTGATAATCATTGCAAAGGATAGCGACACAGGGAATTGCCTTCGTTTCATCTTGAATGGCCACCTACTTTCTGAAGGATTTATGTCCATCATATGGATTAACACCTTATCATTTTGATTTGATCCATTCAATATGATCCCTTCTATGACACTTTTTCCTAACTGTGTGATTCGTAATCGAGTTTCGTTACAAAGCCCAGAAGCTTGATCAATATTTCGCATTAACATAACGGGTGCCCCAACCTTCAAAGTTAGCTTATGTGGAGGTAATCCAGAGCAAGTTACCATGTTCAAGAACTCTGTTGTATACAAATCATCAAAGCTATCAGAGTCTTCTATTGACTTGCATACTGTATTACAACCAAAGTAATCCACAAATTCACCAGGTAACAAAGAACACATGAAATCATTCACCTCATTCACACATTCAAGTGTTGGAGCTAGAATTGCCCTATTATTAAAATATTCAGTGTTCAATAAATTTTCTAGTAAATTTGGATAAGTAGAGGACATAATAGCTTCCATAAGATCTGTATAGTTTTTGATCATGAAGTTAAGGGGGATTTCAATCTCTGCTATACCATCATGTGGTAATCCTAAATTTCCATCACCAACATCTAGCAACTATTGTGAGAACGTTTTTAATTTTTGTTGGTCATGATTTGCAGAATTTAAAGTTAATCTCATATTCTTCATCAATTGGAACACCTTGCAATAATCCCATAAATGTGATGAACTAATACATGCATCAACAATGATTACTCTTATACCTTTTGGAATCACTAGAAGAATTTGACGAAAATCACCACCCATGACAACACACTTACCACCAAAAGGACGGTTTGAATGCATAATATCCCTTAATGTTCTATTAAAGGCCTCAATACAATAACTTTGGACCATTGGAGCTTCATCCCATATTATCAATTTAGTGCATTGAATAAGACATGCAAAGGGAGAATTTTGTTTTATATGGCAAACGGATTCCTTAGTAATTTGAATAAGGATTGCAAACCTTGAATGTGCCGTCCTTCCTGAAGGTAACAAAGTTGCAACAATGCCACTAGATGCAACAGTCAAGACAATCTCACCAGCAGCACGTAGAACAGATATCAAAGCATTCCATAAGAAAGTTTTCCCAATTCCTCCATAACCATAAACAAAGAAGAAATGATTAGTAGCTTTCGAGCATAATGAAGACATAATAGAATCATAAATATTTCGTTGCTCTTCATTTAAACTCGTAATCAAATTTTTGCATCAATCTTCAAAGCTTCTTGGTCATAACATAACTCTTGGATAATGAGACAATTCATGATGTCAACAACTGGCAGTCCTTTAGGCAATGGCAATGAGGGGAAATCTTGAAGATATTTTCCATTATGCTTTAGCATATCATCTATTTCCTTTAATGCCAATTCCTCTTTCTCTTCAATAGAAAAGTTGAACCCTACAATTTAAAGTAAGTCAAATATTAATTATGAAGATAATAAAGTAATATATATCAAATTTCATATAAGAAGTCTATGATGTTTAATATACCTGTTAAATCATGATTATTATGAAACATGTAACATATCTTCAGATAATATATTTGAAGTATGTTTCCAAACAAAGTCAGGACAGCTTAATGAGGAGCATATTAACATGCTAACAAACATTTTTTGCAGCAATTTTTCAGAAGCCCAAATAGAAGCCTCTCTTATTGCATTGATAAATTCATTGTCATCATCAAGTAGTCCCCGTGCAAAGCAAGCGGCTTTAAAAGTTGAATGTATCACACCATCAACAGTTTTAATATCATCATACGAAGTTGGCCCTCTAACCTTCGTTAACAAAATTCTAAGAAAGTAGAGTTCTCCATATGATGGGGAGACATGAGTAATTTGACCAACTACAAAACCTTTCTCTCTTTGTTTCCATGTTCTCTTAAACCTTTGGTACACATAATGTTGTGGGAACTCAATATATGTAAGCTTTTTTGCATCATCTTCATCACGATTCATTTTCATCCATGCAAGGAATTGAGATTCACAAACTCGTGGCTTGTCTAGCAACTCAGAAACATCATCATAATTATTATAAATCATAGATTGTTGATTTAGAAGATGAAAACTTAGTCTCTCTACTAAAGGATATCTATGGTGAATGGTAAAGCCAAATATACACCATGATCCCTCGTATGCAAATATATAGTGACAATTATAATACTGTTGAATCTCATCATGATTATCATAGATTGTAGCAACCATTCTATCATTGCTTTTGCTAATGTACTTAAATAAGTACTTAATTAAAGTAGATTGATTACATTTTTCAACATTGATGTGACCTTGGTACATAGTTAGAAGAATAGGATTGCAAGGAACAATATATCTATTGTCTAAAAGTATGCCTTTTACTTCAATCACTTTCCCATCATCCCTTCTTCTATATGTTGAATAGCTATGTTTATCAATTGTTATACTTTCATTAAACTTCTTAGGGAAATACTTGCTACACTTATTATCTTTCATGCATGGAGATTTAAGGTTACCACGACCACAAGGACCATGAAGTATATATTTCTTCACTAAATCATGTAACAAAGGTGAAGAAGTCTTATCTGGTATCTCAACACAAATCATATTATCAACACTATCTGGATCTTTGACTTTGCCATGTTGATCCAGAAACAAAAGTATGTGAGCATACGGAAGACCTCTTTTTTGGAATTCTATTATATATACTTCTGTAATAAAAAATAAAGATTAAAATATATATTTATAAAATAGCGTCATTTAAAACCATGCAATTAAAATTAATATACCTGTATGAATAGTTCTAAAAATTCTTTTCTCCTTGATCTTTTTCATCAATGATTGTAGCTTCATTTTGAAAACACGAGATAATAAATCCAGTCTATCTGAGGGAGACAAAGAATGTTGCTGACAGAATCGAGTGATCTCTGGCTATGCAGGATTGCAAGTAAATGTGATAAATATATCTAGATATCCTGCCTAACGACATATGGCCATTGCATCTTGGTAATTTTGAATCATATATCTTGCTCCACCAGTAAATGATGATGGTAAAATGATTCTTTGACTAGTAGATGATGCACTTCTTTCTCCTTTTGTCAATGCATCAGACAATCCTTGATATAAGTATACTCTGAGCTCTTTTTGATGTGTTTTTATCTAAAGTAACCTCTGTGATTCAATCATAGTATACCCATCCACTATGAATTGTTGAAATAGCCTGCGTGCATGTAAAATTGTAGAAATCTCATCTTCTTTTATCATTAATCTATAGGTAAAAAACTCTCGCATACCAACTTTTTTCTTCTTTTTTGTTACAGCAAGGGTTTCTTCTCTATGATCAACATCATCTCTATAACCATCCTCACCATATGGAAATAAAATTGGATATTAAAGAGGAAGATATGACGCATGCAATTCATCGATACGTTAAGGTAATCAAGATAAGTCTTCTACTATAATATCTCTTCTAGTAAATGACATATTTATATCTCCTACAATCAAGGCAGCAACTTCATTTATAGATGGGAGATTATAAGTATGACCATCATGTTGACGTGTACTTATCAAGCGAAGCCTAAGATTGGTATCATCTTGATTCTTCAACATTGATGATGCAAGACGGTACTGTTGAATATGAGGGTTGAACTTATCTAAGGCATCCTTTATTTTTTGTACAATTATTGGATTGATTTTGACTGTACTTAGTGTTTGCTATAAAAAAATATATGACACCATCATATTAATATCAACTTCATAATGCATAAATTTAAGGAATGAAATGGCCAGAAAAACATCAACATTAAATTACATAACAGCGAATATATAGTTTGCAACTTCATTATCTGTATCATAAATATACAGTTGAGAGTATACAGGCTTAGCTCCTTCTAGTGGCAATAAACTTCCAATCTTATGGTAATTAATTCCAGACAAGACAAATGAATATAGCCCATTCTTACAATTGATGCTATGGTTTATTTTTCCTCCCCATAGATGTGAAAGAAAACATGTTATTATATTGCCTTATATTCATAAGGAAGTTCTTTAATTCAGCTGATGTTTTGTCAAAGAAAAGGCTATGTAACACTTCTGGTGGTCTTTCAATACTTGGCAAAAGAACTTTACCTTTGAGACAGCACATGGAAAAAGTGTTCACAGTTTTAAACTTGTCTTTTTTAACTCTTTCATTAAACTATAGGAAAGCATCATAGAATCTGCATTTATATATAGGGTCTCCTTCATCTATATATTCTACCAAAAAAGAAACAAATAAGATTAAACCATTTAAAGTTGAAATTTTAGAAATTTAACTACTGATCAGAAGTAAGTGATGTTGTGATTAATATACCAGCAACTTGGCCTAAACCATATTTCTTTAACTTTCTGTAAGTTGTCCTTTTACTATTAGTTTGATATGTTTCAGCATTTTGCTCATATGCCAAATCACGTGTAATTAGAGTTGGTAGCTGCATAGATTTATATCCCATGTATAATATTAATTAATTAAATCTTATTACCTCCATAGATGGTTGAACCATATTCAGTACATTCAGTCTCTTCATTCCCATTATTGACATGTGAAAATTCAATATCCTTGTAAGTTTTTTCTGTGGCTATATAAATATTCAAACCTAACAAATAGAAATAGTTTACATGAGAAAAATTAGGATAATATTTCAAAATGTAATATACTAAGAGGGTTTATGATGTGTTTGACATTCATGTATTGAAATTACATATTGTGAAGCATCTTCATGATAGTTTTTATCGTATTCAAAAAGTATGAATATAATCTGGCATTTACCTCTTTCATTTTGATGTTGAGTTATGCAGTTACTGTGTTCAGCGGTATCCCTCACAGAAGAACAACTTGTATTGGAAGCTCCCACTTGTGAATCTTTGAAAAAATATTCTATGGCAAGTTCCCTTGCACTCTTCCTCTTCACTGTATGTTGTTTTATGAATTGTGTATCTTTTTGTGCTCTTTCATCTTGCTGATGAGTGTTGGAGTTACAATGCTGACCACCATCTACTACGAAATAGTTGTTACTTTTAGCTTGTGATTATAAATGTTGCTTAAAGTTTTCTATGCCAAGAAACCTTGCAGATTTCTTTTTTTAGGTAGCACAACATCTGATATATTATCAATAATCATTCATGACACAAAGTGTAATTTAATAGGTGTATCTGATAGTACTTAATTAACTCAAATGCATATACTTTATAAAATGAAAGTACTCACTTGAAACAGATTTTTGGTCAAATCTAAATGATAGGTTAGTTGCAATGTTAGTTATGTTTTGTAGAATAGCTTCTGGCTTTCTCTGGTTCTTCCAGCATATTTTCCCATCCTGAGTCAAGTTAGAAGATGGCTGAGTATGTATGTTGTTGTTCCTACAAGAAACTTGATAAGAGGAGTCATGCATGTCCTGTTACAATATTGCTTCCTTGTCAGTGGTGTGGTAAAATCGATGCTTTCTTTTTTCTCTGTAACTATGAATTAAAAGGTAGTATTACTCACATAACGAAAGGCAGCTAAAATAGAAAAATGAACTCTGGGTAAATGTTACTTCAAACCTAATATCATGAGTGTTAGATATAGTTTGAGAAGAATCTATTGTTGTAGTCATGAAGTATGAAGGTGTTGTAGCTTGCTGGACTATTAGTGAATAAAGATTCATTGGTGTATGAGGCCTTTTTCTTTTAGATCTTCTAGATAGATGTTTCTCCTCCATAATTTTGTAATCGAGAATGAAGAAAAGATTTTACACCAGGAAGACAGCTACAATTTGTTGAACTTGAATGATTTTTACTTGCAAGGACATGAAAGTAACTTTCCTTTGTTGCACTAAAATGGAATAGATAGCAAATAGCAAATATAGTCTATACAAAACATGATATGGAAAGAGTTTGGCTATATTGTCAGCCTTTATCACACTTTTTACTGACTTTATATTAAAAAGCGTAAGGAACAAAAAAGGTTATAGAGTATTTGGCATATTGTTGAAACTATCATAGATTCTATAAGTATTAACATGCAGTAAGTTGGTTACTTAATGATAATATTCATGTGTTAATTGGACTAAGAAGTTGGCTTGTTGTTCCTTAGTAAATTTATAAACATGCTACCTAGGCCAATCTTTATGATTTTATTCTGTTAATAACAATGATCACCCTTGA